ATATATATATATATATATATATATATATATATATATATATATATATATATATGAGGAATATATGTATATATAACCTGTATAAATGTTTGTTTATAGCAATAAAGAATATTTAAATAAAGTGAATCTTTGTTTGTTTTCATCAAAAACATAAAATTAGTTCAATATTCAGCGTCATTAAAGTAGATTCTGTTCCTGCTCAACACATTACAGAGCGGAGCTGTCGACCTCCCCAAGATGGCGCCACTAATTCACGTTAGCTCACATAGGCGAAAGCGATCGATGTGGGTCTATTCTGATATTATATGTCTATGGTTTAAACAGGAAGTTTTTAATAAATGCTGTAGTTTTAAGCCTTCACCACTGAGTGGCGCTAAAAACCATTTCATGTTCTAAGTGAATCATCATCTAAATTTGTTCCCCATCCAGTTAATGGGGAAAGAAGAAGAAGAGGAGACCTGCAGCTCCTTCTTGGGGATTTAGATCCACCCTACCTGCTCCTTTGTCCTGCTTCTCCTTCGCCTCCTTCTTGCTCCTCAGCTGCTCCTGCAGCTCCCTGATCTGCTCCTTCAGGGCCGGGATGGAGTGGGCCTCCTGGTCCTGGATGGGCCACTCCAAGAACTCCAGGACCTCCTCCCCCAGCAGCAGCTGCAGCACGTCGCTGTGCCGGATGGCGTCCTGCAGCAGCGAGCGGAAGGACACGGACAGCGTCTTCACCTGGTTGTCCCGCTGGACGTCCCCCTCCTGCAGAGCAGAGACTGAGCTGCTGAGGTGGGTCAGGCTCCGGTCCAGAATCCTGGTTCTGTTCTGCTCTGAAGCCATGGACTCCGCCACCTGCAGGAGGAAGGAGCGTCAGTCTGCAGGACGTTTCATCATCAGAAGAACCAGATGTTTGTTCGCCTCCTGACCTGTTGCAGACCCCTCTGCAGCGCCTCCACAGCCGGCTCCCAGTCACTGGCTGAGTCCCACATGGCCCCGCCCACCTGGCTGTTCTCTTCCAGGGCTAATCTGTTCTCATTGGCCAGCTGGGTGACATTGGCCACGCCCCTCTCCAGGTGCGTCAAAGTGGCCTTCAGGCCGTCAAAGTTGCAGCGAATGGACAGGTTGTGCAGGTCGGTGTACAGGAAGTCCACATCCTCGCTGTTCTCCTTCAGCTGCTGCTGCTGGAGCGTCAGGTTCCCCGCCAGCTCCTCCACCCGCCGCAGCACCGACACCTTGGACTGCTCCACCTCCAGACCCGTCTCCATGAACAGAATCTGGCTTTTCCGGGCCGTCTGGTTGATCAGCTTCTCCAGATCCTTCAGCTGCGTCTCCAGCTCCTGAGCTGAAGACGCCTCCACCTCCTCCATCAGCTCATCCACCTGCACAGAAACACACCTGGCTTCAGCTCCGGTCGGACCGGAGCGCTTCGTGTTCTGATTGGACGGACCTTCACCGTGTTGTTGATCACCATCCTGTCCAGGCGTGTGATGGCGTCCCACAGCGCCGTGTTGTCTGCAGGCTGCTGCGGGTGGAGCTGCGCCTCCGCCTGCTCCTCTGGGATCAGATCCAGCTCAGTTCCAGACAGTGATGCGTTCATGGCCTGCAGGCTGACCTGGGATCAGAGTTTAAAGAGCCAGATCTTTGTGGACAGAAGGTTTCCAAGTCTTCCCTGCTTCCATCTTGGTTTTCACTCACCTGCACCTGATCCACCTCCACCTTAAGGGAGCTGAGGCTGTGGAGCCGCTCCTCCTGCTCCTTCTCCATGTTGCTGCGCTGCTCTTCCACCTGCCGGCGGACGTCTCCGATCTGTCGAAACACCGCGTCCAGTTTGGAGTCCAGCTCCGCCTCTGAGACCCCCTGCTGGTCAGCCTCCAGCCCGCCGCTCTTCAGCTCGGACACATCCTGAACCAGCGCCCCCACCTGCTGCTGGAGGAGCTCCAGGGAGCGGTTGAAGCCCTGCAGGATGGGCTGCAGCTGCGATACGACCAGAACCATCACGGTTTGGACGGAGAAGTCTGGCTGCCGCGGAACTCTGTCATCTGTGACTGGAGACAAAGTTCATCACAGTTACTGGTTCCAGGACAGGGTCCCAGTATCACCAGCATAGAGGGAAGATCAGATCCTAATCTCCTCGCTTCAGATGAATAACAGCATGAATAACTGTTGGAGATGCTGATCTTTTGGTGCCTGTTTTTAATTGAAACCTGACCCAGAAGGACGACCAGAGGAACCAGAGACGTTCTCCACCAGAACAAACACGATCTTCCTCTGGGAAAGTCCGAACCCAAAGCGTCCATGTTTGCTTCAGCAGGAGCTGAAATAACAGCAGAGGAGCTTCTCACACCCACACAGCAGAAACCCAGCCGGGTCACGGCCCCCTGGGGACCAGAACCAGAAGAGTCCGGCCTCCAGAACGAGCCACAGACAGTCCTACAGCGGCCCGGTGGGGGTGCAACCAGAACCTTAACTCCAGTAATAAGTATTGATCTGACTGAGATACTTCATAGCTGTAGTAAAAGTACAAAGTACCGTGCAGTACTGATAAAAGTATACTTCTTTTTTTATGTCAGTAGTTGCTACAACAGTTCTAAGGGTCGGGTTGGGTCAGCAGGAAGTTCTGACTCAGCATGGAAACCTCCCCCTGGTTCCGGAGGCGTATTTCTGGAATCATGTTTCTCCTGCTGGTTTCATCCAAACAGATTCTGTTTATAGAACCAGAACTTTCTGACCCTGCAGGTTCTGCTGTTTTTACTCCCCTCAGAATCAGTTCAGGATATCTGCATGTAGATCCGCTGTGGAAACCAGGCGACTCTGCTTTGGAAAAGAAAACTTCTACCGGAGAGCTTTTATTCTGAAAGGAGCCGTTCCTCTTTGGCTGCTTCCTGCCGACTCAGCTCGGTCACAAAGCAGAGAGAAGAAGATGTTCTGACCCACAGTTAAAGCAGTTAAACATCTGATCCATTCAGCAGCTTTTTAGCATCTTCAGATTTCTGGGCTTTAGTAGAACTTCTGAAAGTTATTTTATTTTGAAGGAACTCTTTTCTTTTTATTTTCAGATTGTATTGCTGGTTGGTCTGCAGCCTCCAGAGCATCTCTGGACTCAAAAGGTCCATCTGTTTTAGTCTGTTTATCATTTTAATGCTCAGATTTATCATAGAGCTTAAACTCTTATTTTGAAGGTCCTGCAGGGATTTCCTGTTGGTATTTCTTCTCATCTGGGTTTTAACTGCTCTGATTAATGGGTCATCTTGGATGCATTCACTTTAAATACTTTAAAACGTCGTGTTAAAATGTTCTGCTCCAAATTTTCTTAAAGGA